TCTCTGCATCCCTCCATCCCCTCCGTCTACCCACTCATCCATCCGTCATCCTTCCGTCCCTTCATCTATCCACTCACTCATCCATCCCTCATCTCTCCATCTCTCCATCTACCCACTCATCCATCTCACCCCTCTATTCCTTCATCCCCTCCATCCATGTACCCATTCATCCATCGCTCATCTCCCCATCCCTCCATCCCCTCCATCCATGCACCTACTCATCCATCTCTTATCCCTCCATCTTCATCATCCATCTACCCACTCATCCATCTTTCATCTCTGTACCCCTCCATCCCTCCATCCACCCACCCACTCATCCATCCCTCGTCTCTCCATTCCTCCATTCCCTCCATCCATTTCTTATCCCTCCATCCATCCCCACTTATCCATCTCTCATCCCTCCATCCCCTCCATCCATCCCCCCCTTATCCACCTCTCATCCCTCCATCCCAAATCTCCACCACCCATGCACATATGCATCCATCTCTCATCCCTCCATCCCCTTCTGTCCATCTCTCCATCCATCCATCCCTCCAGAAGTGCCTTATGAGGGTCCAGGGTGCTGAGTGCTGTCCCAGACACAGGGATTTAAAGAACAGCTAAGAAGACACAGTCACCATTGTTCAAGCCAAAGAGAACAAGCAGAGCGGGGAAGAGCTTGGAAGGTTGGAGGCTGTGTTTACACAGTGGCCTGGGATTTCTGCCTGGAGCACAGCAGTCCCAGGGGGCAGGGTGGGAGTCGGGGAGTGGCCAGGGGAACATGCAGCGGGGAGCTTGGTAGAGGTGAGTGCCAACCAGGGAATGAGTGTGTGCACTGAAGACAGGGACTCCAGGTAACAGAGTCATTTTGGCCACTATGTTAAGAGACATAAAAGGTCAAGAGGTGAGGTAGGAGGCGGGGTATATGTCTGCATTTTCTTTAGAAAAGTCACATCTGCCTTTCAGGAGTGGGCTTGTGAAGGTTTAGGAAATCTCAAGGCCACCCCGTGGTTTCTTGGCTGCTTTGTATCTCCTTGCCTTGGAGCAGTCTTGCTAACTCAGGGCCTAAATGCACTCTGTTATCGTGCTCTGATGTTACAGCAAAGTTATGTTCTAAGAAGAACATTGTGTCTGGCCTTGATAGGCCGTGTCTGTTTACAGCATCGTCCTGCTCTCCCAGCCCCAGAGCCCACCAGCTTCCTCTTACCTCCCGGGACCACCACGTTATCAGAAAAGGACTCGGAGGGCTGCTCTGAGGCCCAGCACACAGTTAGTGCCCAGGAAACATTTGCTGCTGCAGCTGCTGCTAACTGGCATGCTGGGGTCCAACCCACCACATTTTAACTTCTGTTTCTATTGCTGTGTCCTCTCTCCATGCTGTGACCCTCGGGCACGTATGTGTGTCCCTACTGTGTTAAAGTCCTGCATCTGTGATGCAGGTGCATTTCTGTCTCTCACTGACATGAGTTTACTCACTGTGGTGCTGACGCATAACCAGATGATCTGACTTTACTGTGGAAAACCAGGCGCTGGTCCTTCATGACGTTCCGTGCAGCTGTGGAAAGGCAATTTTAAAGAAGAAACAAACACTTAAAATTAGCATCTCAGGATGGACATGAGAAGAACAGAGCCTCTTCAAAACAGAATGAATTTCTGACCATAAATGTAAGAGGTTTCATATCTGAAGTCACACCAACCATCATCAGCAAAAGATTAAATCAAGGGGTTAAAAGGATAAGAAAACAGCCCAAGTTGGTTGTTTTGTTGTTGTTGCATTGTTTTGTTTCCGGTTTTTTTTTTGGAGACGGAGTTTCGCTTTATCACTCAGGCTGGAGTGCAGTGGTGCGAGCTCGGCTCACCGAAACCTCCACCTCCCATGTTCAAGCGATTCTCCTGCCTCAGTCTCCCGAGTAGCTGGCATTATAGGTGTCCACCACCACACCTGGCTAATTTTTGCATTTGTAGTAGAGAGGGGGTTTCACCACGTTGGTCAGGATGGTCTTGATCTCCTGGCCTCATGATCCACCCGCCTCGGCCTCCCAAAGTGCTGGGATTACAGGCATGAGCCACTGCGCCCAGCCTAGCCTATTTTACATTTTGCATAGCACTATAAATTGACAAAAACTCTGACATTACGTGAACTTACCACAAATATTTACAAATCAAAAAAATGTTTTCAGACCAAATATAGTTTTGCCAGAACTATTTATTTTTGCATAAATTTAATAGTTGGTGTTCAATATGAATAGTCTGTACAATATTATAAAATAGCTTTAGAAAGATGGATATTTGCATGATACTGAAAAATTCTAAAAATAGTTATTTTTTAAAAAACAAAGAAATTCAGTTCTGTTTCTGGCACTATTTCATACAGGAAAACCTAATCACATTCCCATTAAGAATCAAGTGGCCCTAAGAGAATATTAACTTAATATTGTGGACGTCTCACTGTGCAAATCAGAGTCCAGGAGGTGACCAGGAATCTGTAAGCCAGGTCTCCTCCCTGGGCCTGGGCTCCACCGACCTCACAGGCTTGCAGAGAGCAAAGCCGGACCTGGAGGGGAAGAGGTTTCCAAGGGAAAGGAAGACACCACACACAGCTGGGACCCCAAAGGAACCCTCAGAGGGCAAGGGCGCTAGAAAAGTAACTGCTCCCAGGAGAAGCCAGGAAACTGCACTGTCCAATCCACAGTCAGGAGAGGAGAAAAAACCTTCTCCAGAAAATAATCAAATATCACCGGAAGGAAAACCATTTCAGGATAAAATGATAAAGTTACAGGCACATTAGTAGTACACTTCATTATGAGAAAGTCTTAGAAGTCCTAGAATAAGGTTTATAAATACATAACTGCATATTAGTTTTACAAATGCTCTAAGCATTAAAATATAATAGTTCCTCATCTACCACATATGTTCTGTTTATATTATCTCTGTTATAGTGTTGTAAGTAGAGGAAGGCAAATTTTGGGATTACAGCATTACTGTAAATGAAACATATCCATTAATTTTCCATGGGAATATTTTCTAAATTACACACAAAACATCAACATGTTAAAATTTCATCACTTTCTTGCTACAGAAAAGTTATCTCTGTATTAAAACTATTTATATAATTGTTCTTACTGAAGGTTTTGTTCTAAACTGTAAATGCTGTCGTTAGTTGCGAACCATAGCACATCACATATGCTCGTCTGAAACAAGATGACCCATGTTGACAAAAAGTCTAAAAATTCCACTTTTAAGGAGTGATCTAAATGAAGCGTAGCTAAGAAGAAAAGCTAAAGAAACAAACACGGTAAGTTTAAAGGTGAAATCACGAGACTCGTATCTCCTTCACAACAGACTGTGTGCACAGATCTCACTTCCCAAACGCACAGCCGTCCAGGGCGGCAGACATGACGAGCAGATCCCGTGTGACGGACCCTGTGTGACGGACCCATGTGACGGACCCCGTGTGATGGACACGCAGGAGGCACTGCTCGCCACTCAGTGTGGAGCCCACTCTCATAGGGGAGTTTCTTTCCATGGAAACAGTCAGAGCTTTGGAAAACCACCTGAACAGTCTAGTATGATTCCAACTATTAGCCATTTTAATTAATATTGGTTAGTCAAGTTTTTCCAAACATTTTTCACTAGAAATATACATATACGTATAAAATTCCTGTTATTAATTAAGCAAATGGTTCAAAAAGGTTTTTTTACATTGCACAACAATGAAAAGGTAAGGAATGCCACTGAACCATACACCTAAAAATGGTTAAAATGGTAAGTTTTATTTTATATATATCTTAAATGAAAAAAAGTAAATGAACAGAAAGTCTTTTAAAAGACTACGAAAAACAGACTCTTTACCACATAAATAATGTATAAAACCATATTATTTACCTAATAAACACTTTCAATTCTTCATTAGCATCATTACTACATAGGCCTTTTTCAATTTGTTGAGGGTGCTGCTATTTAAAAGGTGAATGCTGACTTTCATTATCTGTATAACACACCGGTTAGGTATTCAGATGGCCTCTCCCACAGAGAAAAACCACAAATGCCAGAAGAAATATGTGCTTCATTTTGTTAAAAGGGGAAAGAAAATGGGGACAAGATATCGAAACTGAGGTGAGCTGTGGATGGCTTCAACTCCAGCCACACAGGCTGAGGATTTGTGTGGCCTCAGGGAGGTGAGGGCGGAAAGGCCAAGCCCTCGGCCACTATGCGAGCTTCACTTTCTCCAACTGGCCCAGGAAGCCTGTGCCGTGATGGTCTGTACTAGTCCCAGGTTGATGACCCTGCAGTCAGAGTGACCTTGACAAGTGGCTTGAAAGGCCGGAAGCTGTGGATTTGTGCAACCCAAACCCCTAGAAAGCAACGCAAATCTCCTTTGGGGGAACACACTGCACTTCATTCAGTTCCAAAAAACAAATACAAAAGCAAACAAAACAGAAAAAAACAGAAAACTAAAGGCCCATTTCTCTAGTGAAAATTGATGCCAAAATCCTCAACAAAATATTAGCAAACCGAATTCAACAACACAACAAGAAGACTACACATCCTGGGATTTATCCCTGACACACAAGGCTGGTTTTATACTCAAAATCAATCATACACCTAATTTAAAATTCTACACCAACCATTCAGGTACAGACACAGAGAAAGCTCTTCCCAGCTCATCTGTGGAGCTGGCACACCAAAACCAAACTCAGGAAGTTCCTGAGAAATCAATCACGTGAGAACATGAATCCAAAGGATCCTGTACAAAATAATAGCGAAGAGATAATAAATGCTAATTAGGTTTATGACAGCAAAACGTAGCTGATTAAACACACACAATAACCACCTCATGTTTAACCAGGAAAACGCAAACAAAATCAAAAGACACCTCTGTATTGTCACTGGTTGCCAGACGACTCAGGAGGGTCTCCAAATGCTGGTGAGACACCACCCCCAGCCAGTTTCCAGGTTCTTGGCACCTTCAGAGCAAAAATTTAGATGGGAAAAGCAGCAGCTTTTGCTGCAAAGTGAAAGCACGTGCCTAAGTGAGAAGCCAGGTGAGCTCAAGAGAAGGAGGCAAGCTCAGGAGAAGGAGGCAAGCTCAGGAGAAGGAGGCAAGCTCAGGAGGAGGCCTGCTCAGGAGAGGGAGACAAGCTCAGGAGGCGCACTCAGAGGGAGGTGTGCAGAAGAGTTTGTGTTCCTCATTTTGCGGGTGTTTCTTTCATGAGAGGGTAGGATCATCATCAGGTATTCTGGGAAAGGAGGGGATTTTAAGTAAGCCCCTACCACAGCCTCGTTCTCCCTTATTCGCGTTTTCCCGGGAGAGCAGAGGACACATCACGCTGGTGGGTTTGCCTTCTCTCTCCCTCCCTTGCTTTGGGTTTTCTGCCGTCCTGTGCTTGCTTTGGGTTTTCTGCCATCCTGTGGTTACTTTGCCACATTCCTGTCTTCGCTGTTGCCTGGGTTTTCCGTCCTCCTGCGACCACCCAGTGCTATTCTTGTCTCACACTGGGTGAGCAGAAATTCCAGCGTCCAGTAACATGCAGCCATGGCAAGAACTCGGGGCAAGAAAGTAGCTGGAGTAGCTGCTGGCCAGCCACCTGGGAAGACCTTCACCATCGTCTGCCATCGACCTGCCATGTGGGGAACCTTCACCCCGAGCCCAGCAGCTGCCCCCACAGACATCAGGGCAGCCCTCCCGGCTCCAGGGTACAGCAGGGTGCAGCAGGATGCAGCAGGGTGCAGCAGGGTACAGCAGGTGCAGCAGGGTGCGGCAGGGTGCGGCAGGGTGTGGCAGGTGCGGCAGAGTACGGCAGGTGCAGCAGGGTACGGCAGGGTGCAGCAGGGTGCAGCAAGATGCAGCAGGGTGCAGCAGGGTACAGCAGGTGCAGCAGGGTATGGCAGGGTGCAGTAAGGTACAGCAGGGTACAGCAGGTGCAGCAGGTACAGCAGGGTACAGCAGGTGCAGAAGGTGCAGCAGGTACAGCAGGTGCAGCAGGTGCTGCAAAGATTGCTCACAACAGCAACAGCCTGAGATAAGCCAAACGGCTGTTAATACTGAATAAATTGTGGGTACATAAACCGCAGTATATCCAGGCAACAAAATGCTGTACAGCAATGGAAACAAATCTCACAGACACGAAGTGAAAAAAACAAATCACAAAAGAATGCACTTAAGAAAGAATATTACTCTACATATCAACAGCCCCAGATGAGACATGTGAGAGGATTCACTGTGATGATGGATTTCTCGGTGCCTCTTTGCCAGCTGGAGACCCCCAAGGCTGGCGATGCCCCTGCCCGGGCCTCCCTTGACCCCGGCTCTCTGCAGGAGGTACCTGCCTACTTGGCCCGCTTGTGTGAGGCTCTCGGTCCCATTGCCCTGCCCTGCACCTCTGGGGCTGGCCCGGCCCCACTGCTGTTTCCTGTCACGTGTGGCGGCTGCCTAGCGCTGGCTAAGGGAGGAAGGTGGAGGGCTACCACATTACAGCATTTTTCATACCCGCATTTGGTGAGTCCTGAGTCCCTGTCCTGCATCCAAGAAAAATAGGTTACCCTGACAACTGAAGGGTGAGCAGGGCAGAGTTTTGTTTTGTTTTGTTTGAGACAGAGTCCTGCTCTGTCGCCCAGGCTGGAGTGCAATGGCACAATCTCAGCTCACTGCACTCTCCACCTCCGGGGTTCAAGCAATTCTCGGCCTCAGCCTCCTGAGTAGCTGGGACTATAGGTGCGTGCCACCACGCTCAGCTAATTTTTATATCTTTAGTAGAGATGGGGTTTCACTATGTTGGCCAGGCTGGTCTCCATCTCTTGACCTTGTGGACCACCCACCTCAGCCTCCCAAAGTGCTGGGATTACAGGCGTGAGCCACCGTGCTCGGCTGGTGAGTTTTATTGAGTGACAACTCTCAGCAGAGAGGGGACCTGGAGAGGGCAGCCCCTACCCTCAGTCATGGCCCCTACCCTCAGTCAGGTGGTCCCCCAGTGTGGCTGAGTTTGGGGCCTTTGTGGATTCAGAATGGGGGAGTGCATGTTGATTGGTTTGTGACTATGCAAAAAAGGCTAAAAAAAAAAAGGCATGACTCAAAGATGGGCACAGCAGTGTGAAAAACCAATTAGGGAAGAGTGGGTATACGTAAAATAGGGCCAATCAGAGGAAAGCGCGCCCAACAGGAAAAGAGGTTCTCAATCCGGTCTGTGAATTTACCTGAGACATGTAGTTCGGCTTTCAGACGTGAACCTGTCTTTGGTTTGCAGGTCGGGTTTCCCTGGGGACTCGCCTGTGTCTGCTTGGGGATTTCTCTGACTCCTGCTGCTATCAATTGTTAAGGATGAATGGCAGGAGGCAAGACTGACAGGGCCAAGATAGACCAGGAGGGGTGGGGGGAAAGCATGTGAGGAGGCTTGCGGGGTCCAGGAAGACGAGGAGGTTCGGGGAAGGCTGAGAACGAGGAGGCCGGAAGGGACTGTGTGAGGAGGTCAGGAGGGCCCAGGAGGGCAAGGAGGAGGTCAGGAGGGCCCAGGATGAAGGAGGCCAGGAAGGCCCAGAAGGGCAACAAGGAGGCCAGGAGGGCCCAGGAGGAGGCTGGGATGGCCCAGGAGGAGGAGACAGCTCGGGCAAACCTTAGGCCCACAGCAGCCCAGGGGCATTCTCTTCTCAGCCATCTTCACACCCACCTGCTGCTGTCTTCTCTGCTGTAGTGTTTTTTGCAATTTAAGATGCCTTTTCAATGGTGAATAATTAGCACCTCCTTACAAGGCAGAAGTGCCATGATTTAATGAGGAGGAAGGAGGTCAGAGGCCACTCTCAGCTGAGGAGTCAGCTTGGCCCAGAGGCTGCAATGCCTGGTCGCCTTCCCCAGGCCTTTATTCTCACAATTTCTCAGAACTGTCCCCATGGTGATGGGATGGCAGCAGAGCATAAAGCATAAACCTGCAGGAGATGGACACTTAACCCTGACAGTGGGTCTTTTGTGGAAATAGGGCCGAGGAATGGGGGACCCGTCGGAAACCCCCAGCAGCAGGGACCCCCATGACAGGACGGAACAAGCAAACAGCTCCAGCCCCAGGCTCAGTTCTGAGTCCCAGCCTTCCACCTGAAAATGGCCCTCTCTGATCCGCAAGGCGGGTCAGAACCACGCAGTCAGTGAGACCTAGGAATGGCACAGAAGGTGTTCAAGGTCTGATTTCAGAAAGTCTGGTAGGGAAGGGACAGAGAGGCCAGAATTCCCAGAAGTCAAGCTCAGGGGCCACGTGGGAGCATGAAGGACACAGCCCATGTCTGAGGACGGTCTCCACGGGAGGTCCAGACATGTCTGATGCAGGAACCCCAGCCCAGCCCAGCCCAGCCTAGCCTGGGAGAGGCCCGAGGGTGGGGTCACAGCACAGCCCAGCCCAGCCCAGCCCAGCACAGC